TCCCTGACAGCTACATATTGATTGTCCTATCTGTTAAAAGAAATGCATAGTTATATCATGGAGTGAAGAACCTTCTTCAGCTCAAACACCACTAGGCAACTTTCCAGGGTCACATGCCCACAGTGGGCGGGCCAAGAATCAAGAATCAGGTGGAGCAATGCATGTTCATTTTACCTTCCTTACAGTAGGCTTATTTCTATGCACACTCAAACATCCCTCTCTGTGTTCCATCCAGGCAAGCAAAAAGTATGATCCAAGTTCAAGGATGCACAAAAAGCAAAAACTCTCAAGAAGGCTGCAAAGTAGGATCCATAAGGGATGGAAATGTCAAAATGCACAAGGAGAAATATCCTACTCATTTTCCTACCGCTAAGGTGTTGGGAAATCTGTGGCCTTCCAGATGTTGTTGAATGATGACTAACATCATCCCTGAATTGGAGTTTGATAATATCAGGTGTGGGGGGAAGCAAAAGGTTACCTATCTCTGCCCTAAGCCAACTCTCTATGCTGAAGCAGAGTTTTTTTCCCCATTGAGCATATCTTTCACAGCTCAGAACATATGTTAGCACTGTGTGCTGCAAAATAGTCAACAGGACTAGGCGCTTCTCCAGACAACCTACAGTATTTATTCACCATTCATCCCAGTTTTCTTGCACAAAGCTAATGTGGCAGTTAGACTGTTTCAGGTCTTTACTGAGCATTATTTCTGATTTGTTTATAAGACAATCAGCATTCATCCTACATTCAACCTGATTTAACTTGCGGGGTGCTTACATATTTTCCCATTGGTCATTTATCCATCATTTTCAATGCATTTCCCCATCACTTTCCAAAGCCCAAAACATCTGTGTGTTTGGGGGTTTTTTTATATAAAAAAGTAGCTTTGTTCCACTAGAGCAACAGAGCACTTTAATCTACTTTAAATGTGCAATCCTACAGTTCCAGTAGGCACTTGAAACTCTCCCACAAAATACTGAGGGTCTGGAAGCAGCCTGAGAAACATGCCACTGCTCAGCAAAAAAAAAAAAAAAACAACCTTCCTTAAAGTAAAATAAAAAATTCAGATTATCCATCTTAAAGGGACCCTGAAGAAAATAGGATAGTCCCAAGTCATTGTGATGATTGTGAACCACTAATAAAACAATACTAGTTTTAGGATACTGGGATAGAATAATACTAGCTTTAACAGAATATGACTGAATATCAGTTTTTCTTTCCTGCCTTACCCTAACTGAATAAAACTCATAGTCTAGCTTTGAGAGCCATAACTTTTCAAGGACCAGTAAGGCTCAGAACATAATTGTTATTTAATAGCTGCTTTGTGTCTGAGAGAACAAGGACCCCTGGCTTTGCTTTTTATTTTACCCTTGAAAAGTCCTGTAATATCTTTTTGCTTTTTTCATCTGTAAAAATGATTATAATGGTACATTTTGCAAGTCGTTCCCCTTCACCCACCCTCTTTGTATTTGGAGAAAGCTCTGTACTGGAAAATACCAAACCATAATCACTATATCTGAATTTTGAAAAGAGTCTGCTTTCATTTTACACATTTTGACATGTTCAGATGATCTGCTAATGAAATCAAGAAATCAAAGTAATCCAGATAAGGAAATGCAATCAAAAGACCAAGGTCAGGAAAGTGTGACGCGGGAGAGATGAATATGTTTATAACTAGGAGTCAAAGATGATCTGAAAACTAAATAGTGCACTTCTTTCAGAGATCAAAGAAAACTTGGATGTTAGAATGCCTGGTCTTATCAACAATTTGGAAGTAACAGCTTCCAAGCAAACATGTTATTTTTCTTCTGGAATCACCACTTATACTACACAGAGTTGATAGCCTTTAACTTTGTCTTATAGGTAGTCTGATCCTATGCCCACCTAAAATAATGGAAGGCAATGCCTAATGCTGAATAGTAATAACTGAGGTGCACAGGTAGGGAGAGTATTGTTGCACTCAAGTTCTGCTTTCAAATTTCCCCCAGGCAACTGGCCGGCCACTGGAAGAACAAGATGCTGGACTAGATCTGCCTTTGGACTGATCCAGCAGGACACTCTTTTTGTTCTTGACTTACTAACTGAACATTTAGCCTACCAACAGCTTGGTAGCAATTCCATCACAGCCTAGGTTGGATGGGGCGCTTCAGGGACTGCCACTTTGGCGGGGTGGGAACTGCTGGTCCACCACATCAGATAGCTTGAGAAGCACTGCTATATACCACAATGTGTGACCTTGTGCAAGTTACCATCTCAACCTAATCTACCTCACTGGATCGTTGGGAAGATACAATGGGAGGGGCCATTTAAAACACCCTGAACTATTTCAACAGAGAAAGAGTGGGATGAAAATATGACAAAAAATAGAATATGTTTTCCTCATAATAATATTGTGATCCAAAGGGCACCCAGTTAGCTTCATGGCTAGGTGGTAGCTCGAATCTTGGTCTCTGCAGTCCTAAAGATTCCAGCCTTAATTGGCAACACCCTAGTTGCATACTCTGAAACCCATGAAAGGATTAAAATCTAGGCATTAAAGTGCACATTTACTCTTTGCTCACCATGATTGAGAGTATGACAGAATAGGTGTGAAAGAGTAATGAATCCATGTAGTCTTGAGGGCAGACCCTTTGCTTTCTAAATAAGACAAACTGACCTTGACTTGTGTCCTTGACAGATATTTTTCTGTTAAATTAAGATTGACCTATTTTGTTGAAATATCAAAGTTATGAAAGTTCACTCCTTGATGAGTTCACGGGCTCCTGCTTCACTGGGTTTAAGATTTCCTTGGTTGGCTATAAACATTTCCTAAAGTGCTTTTCTTCCTACAATCAGCAGACAGAAATGGAATCATTTCTCTTTGTAGTACTTTCCCAGGCTAAAAAGCCATCAGATCTCTCTTTTCCTTTGAAGGGGAAAAAGCTGAGGAAAAACTAAGCCTGGGAAGGATCAAATGCAGCTGCAAACAACCCATAATACTCAAAAGCTGTTGTCAGAGTGTTGTACTTGTATAAAGCATAATAATGAAAGCTACAGGCAGGGGTTTTCAATTTCAGGACTGCAAAAATATTTACTGTTTTTTCTAGGTAGTGGCTAAAGTTTCCACTGTGCTCATTTCCAATTAGAACTAGTTTTATCTGGCTTGATTTTATTTATCACTTAGAATATTAATATCCTGCTTTTTAGTCCCAAAAGACTCACAAAAGTAGCTTACAAAAGATTCTCAAAATAAAACCATTCAAATCCTGTAGAACAACAGAAATTGCATGGGCTTTGTCATCTTTCCTGTTCTACTTGATCTGCAGCTCTAAAAACATTTTGACCCTACTCCAACTTCATGATGGCTGGGAGTTTGTTAAGAGGGAGATAGTAAAAGCACAACTTCAGGCAATACCAATGAGACGGAAACATGGAAGGTGCCTAAAGAAGCCAGGGTGGCTATCTAAAGAACTTTTAACTGAGTTAAGATTAAAAAAGGATGTGTACAAAAAATGGAAAAGGGGGGAAACCACCAAAGAGGAATTCAAACAAATAGCCAGCACATGTAGACACAAAGTCAGAAAAGCTAAAGCACAGAATGAACTCAGGCTTGCTAGAGAGGTTAAAAGCAACAAAAAGGCTTTTATGGGTATGTTCATAGCAAAAGGAAGAACAAAGAAACAGTGGGGTCACTCAGAGGAGAAGATGGTGAAATGCAAACAGGGGACACAGAAAGGGCTGAACTCCTCAATGCCTTCTTTGCCTCAGTCTTCTCCGATAAAGAAAACAATGCCCGACCTGAAGAATTTGGAGCAAATGATTCAGCAGAGGAAACACAACCCAGAATAACTAAGGAGATAGTACAAGAATACTTGGCTAGTTTAGATGTATTCAAGTCTCCAGGGCCAGATGAACTGCATCCAAGAGTATTAAAAGAACTGGCAGATGTGATCTCAGAACCACTGGCAGTCATCTTTGAGAATTCCTGGAGAACAGGCGAAGTCCCAGCAGACTGGAGGAGGGCAAATGTTGTCCCTATTTTCAAAAAGGGGAAAAGAGAGGACCCAAATAATTATCGCCCAGTCAGTCTGACATCAATACCAGGGAAGATTCTGGAGCAGATCATTAAGCAAACAGTCTGTGAGCACCTAGAAAGGAATGCTGTGATCACCAATAGTCAGCATGGATTTCTGAAAAATGACTCATGTCAGACTAACCTGATCTTGTTTTTTGACAGAATTACAAGCCTGGTAGATGAAGGGAACGCAGTGGATGTAGCCTACCTTGATTTCAGCAAGGCATTTGACAAGGTGCCCCATGATATTCTTGTAAAGAAGCTGGTAAAATGCGGTCTTGACTATGCTACCACTCAGTGGATTTGTAACTGGCTGACTGACCGAACCCAAAGGGTGCTCATCAATGGTTCCTCTTCATCCTGGAGAAGAGTGACTAGTGGGGTGCCACAGGGTTCTGTCTTGGGCCCGGTCTTATTCAACATCTTTATCAACGACTTGGATGATGGACTCAAGGGCATCCTGATCAAATCTGCAGATGACACCAAACTGGGAGGGTGGCTAACACCCCAGAGGACAGGATCACACTTCAAAACGACCTTGACAGACTAGAGAACTGGGCCAAAACAAACAAGATGAATTTTAACAGGGAGAAATGTAAAGTATTGCACTTGGGCAAAAAAAATGAGAGGCACAAATACAAGATGGGTGAGACCTGGCTTGAGAGCAGTACATGTGAAAAGGATCTAGGAGTCTTGGTTGACCACAAACTTGACATGAGCCAACAGTGTGACGCGGCAGCTAAAAAAGCCAATGCAATTCTGGGCTGCATCAATAGGAGTATAGCATCTAGATCAAGGGAAGTAATAGTGCCACTGTATTCTGCTCTGGTCAGACCTCACCTGGAGTACTGTGTCCAGTTCTGGGCACCACAGTTCAAGAAGGACACTGACAAACTGGAACGTGTCCAGAGGAGGGCAACCAAAATGGTCAAAGGCCTGGAAACAATGCCTTATGAGGAACGGCTAAGGGAGCTGGGCATGTTTAGCCTGGAGAAGAGGAGGTTAAGGGGTGATATGATAGCCATGTTCAAATATATAAAAGGATGTCACATAGAGGAGGGAGAAAGGTTGTTTTTCTGCTGCTCCAGAGAAGCGGACACGGAGCAATGGATCCAAACTACAAGAAAGAAGATTCCACCTAAACATTAGGAAGAACTTCCTGACAGTAAGAGCTGTTCGACAGTGGAATTTGCTGCCAAGGAGTGTGGTGGAGTCTCCTTCTTTGGAGGTCTTTAAGCAGAGGCTTGACAATCATATGTCAGGAGTGCTCTGATGGTGTTTCCTGCTTGGCAGGGGGTTGGACTCCATGGCCCTTGTGGTCTCTTCCAACTCTATGATTCTATGATTCTATGAACTGTATAGGAGTCCTCCTCTTGACATGAATGGACTTTGGTCCTCCTCCTACTTGCTACAATTCTACAAAATGGTGGTTGTCACAATCACCAGTTGAAATGTGAAGTAGTAACTCTTCCTTCTGACATAGCTCATCCAGAACTCAGTTTGTTTTTGAAGTTACAAAAGTATACAGTTAGCACGTTTTGAATTCTTCTTAGTGAAAGAAACATATACTAGGTTTATGACTCATTTGTGATATTTTGTGCCTGGTATGCAGGACTGTTTTAGAAAATATATTTCTATTTCTCAACAACGTTCTTGGGGAAAATGAGAACTCTTTCCAAAAGCTTCTGGGCAAATCAAATTCCTGCTACTAGTGCCTCTGACAGGAAATTTTGGCAGGGTAAGTAAGAGAATATTTTTCCAGCTGCAGGTTTTTTTAATAACAAAAAGGAAAGGAAAGGAAAGGAAAACATCACTTAAACAAAAGCATTTGTGTAGCTGGAATGCAGCTTGATGTATAAAGTTAAGAGATGTATTCATTTGCTCAGCCTACTTTTGCCTCTGACTCCTCCTACAAGGGAATGTGACCCTGGAAGGTTCCGTTCAAGGGAATTTAGCCCTTGGACTGAAAACCATTTCTCATTTTTATGTTGAAACATGACAAAACAGCAAATAAAATAACATATTGACAACATTTTAGCAAAAGCATGAGTGAGAACATAAAAAAAGAAAAATCTTACAGGCCAAAGACTTGTCTGTAAGAAGGTTTTCACACAGTGGTGCAAAGACATCAACAGAGCTTGAGATAAGCCTCTCTAGGGGAATAAATGTCACAGTCTGAGGGCAACTATGAAAGAGAACCACCACCACCCCTCATGTTAACTAGAAATTAAACAATCATACAGGACTGCTTCTCCAATACCCTCCAACATCTCCAGGCCCCAAACCGAGATGCATGTATTCAGGGCTGCACATCCTAGCGAGTCACATGACCTGTGTGAGAGTATAGAGCCCAAAAATGCTTTTTGAGGCTCTGTGCTCTCACAAAAGAGCACAGCGCAAAAAATATGTGGTTTGGGGCATCACCATCTTGTGTGGCAGGGCCACAGCACCCCCAAAACACACATTTCTGGGCACCATGCTCTTGAGAGCACAGCCCCCAAAACAGAATGTCATGTTTTTATCTGGACAGTTGAAGGCTATGCTCTCCAGAAGAGCAGGTCGTAACTAGCACTTTAACTTGTGTCCAAATATGAACCAGAAACTGGCATAACTCTTTTAACAAAGGGGAAACACAATTCCAAAAAACAGCTCCAGCTGACAGTCTGGCTGCCACATTCTGAATAACTGACAGTTTTTGAGGAGACAGCCCTACACAGAGCACATTGCAATACTCCAATCTGGGTATAAATAAAGCAAAAGGTCACTATGGTCAGATCTAACATCTCTAGTAATAAGCAGCACTGATGCACCAGTCTAAATTGATGTAATAAACATTCATAGCAGCCACCACATTTCCAAGTAAATATAGCAAAAGATAACTGAATTCCAATTTGCTCCATTTCATTCAGGAATTACTGAAGCTGCCACCTTTCCCAAGAATGCTACATTTGAGACTGTTTGTTAATTGCCTCAGTCCAGGGAATCTAAACAAGGTTTGTTCAGCAATAGTCTTACCTTAGTCTTACTAGTGGTTCTCTTGATGGGGAAAAAACCACACATACACAAAGTTTACTACCACCTCATATGGCCTTTCTCCAAAAAGCTAAAATAAGGATGGCAGCTTTCCAAGGACTTCTGAGTCAGTCTTTTGACTTTTGAGTATCTGACCCAAAAGTTTAAATCAGTTAGCGCCCACTTAGCTGTTATGCTGCACCTATGCAGACCCAGAGACATGGATGATATCATTTTTCAACAATTGTAGATAGTTGGATTTCTACAGAAATACCAGAACTGTTTAACTTATTATTTTTATACTACAACTCCTTTTTCATGCCACATTACTTGTCCTATTGCTTTAATAGGATTAGCATTGAATAAAAGCTTGTGTTTAACTGACTAAAAATACCAGAATCGAACAAAATATTTATCTCAGGCACACACTAAGGCAAATAACACTACTTAAAAAGTCTAATGAAGCAAATGAAAATAAATTAACAAGCGGGGGGGGGGGGAAGTGATCAGGCACTCATTACGTAAGCCACATCACAATAGCTTACAAGAAGAAACTAAGAGAATACAATAAAACCATTAAAATGCCTCTATTTATCACTAGAAAGATGGTCTGGTCAATAGATTTCCTTGACAAGAAGATTAAGGTCAAGATTGAGTAAGATTAAAATCAAATTGTAATGAGGCCCAGTAATCAATTTTGGCCTGCAGACCTCTTCCAGCCTTTTGCATTTCCCAAACCAATTACTCAGTTTTGGACAACTCACAACAGTATTTTTATACCCTGAACAATGTGTGTCTAGCTGTACCTTGAAAATAAGGCATGTGTGGTATCTGGCTCCATCTCTGGATGAAGCACCTGTTGTTTTAATTGTTCTGAGGCAAAACTTTATGTAACAATTCTCACCCTGGCTGCAACAGGACTCCTATGCAAAACTGCGGAGGATGCACACAATCACTTATTATATTAGTTGAAAATGCAGATGAATTGGGTATGTGTCATGTTTAAAGTGCAAGACCCTGAGCTCTCTGTTTCACGTTGCAACTTGGTTTGACAGCAACTGGTTTTCTCCCTGCATTGTAATAAGAAAACATCTTGAAAGCACTGCTTTTTTCTATAAAAGGAAGGCATCCATTGCCTTTCGTTTTTCTACTGTGAGCCACTCATTTCTGTTGGCATCTGTAACGATGTTGAGAGAATGGTAAAGGAAGGTTTCTTGCAAAGATCAGTTTGAAAAATTTAGCAGCCATAGTACACTTCCTCCTGTTGTGATTCTTTCTGTAGTATATATTCCATTATAAGATTACAGCCAGAGTTTGCAAGAGCATCCATTTGCTAGACTCCCTGCCCTTTTTATGTGAGTGGATACAAATGATTCAGTATTATTGCTTTCAGCGAGGCACATGACAGAATGCTCAGCCAAGTTATGTATAAAAGTTTCTGTTCAGGGTTAACAGGTTCATCTTTCAGTGGGTTGTTAATGCATGAGTAACACGCACAAAAGCCAATCCGTTTGCAATAGCTACGTGGGGTTAAAAAGCAAATTGCTTTCAGCTGAAGCAGCCCCAATTTGTCAGGGCCCAGGTGTCAATTAGAAAGGCAAAAGGGGCATGAAATAAAAACTACAAGAAACGGAAATGTGATACTTTATCTGAATTCAACTTCGCTCTGCCATTTCTAGTTTCAGAAATCCCGTTAACTGTTTTAAAATGAAAAACACACTTCATTTGGCAACCTGAATTTTGCTATTAGCTTTAATGCCTTTGGTTCTTTTGCTTTCTTTTTCCCATGATCTTAATGAGTTGTTTCAGTGTTGCAAAGATGATTACTCTTTTACTCCTTTCCCTTTCAACATCCTAGTCTCATAACACTAGCGTAACATAATGGCAGGCAATGAGTTTCCAGGTGATTATCTAACACCCTGGATCTTCCAAGGCAAGCTTGGGAATAGAGGCTGATTAATCTTAATGGGGACTGAGTCAAAACTCTGAATAAGGCTGCCTGAATTGTGAATATTGAATTTGTAAATGAAAATTGTGATGCATGGATCTCAGAGGTTCGGTTTAGAGGGACAACACGATCTCACTGAATCCAATGCTTTTCTTACAACTCCTTCTATGATTTATTTATTTATTGCATTAGCCGAGTGGCCATAGCATGACATACATTGAAATAACAACATAAAATGGGGGTGGGGAGGTAGAGGTAGACATCGTCCTGGGCGAATACTTAAAGAAAGTGAGAGAAAAACAAAACACAAAAGCTGCTGAGGCTGGAGGAGGACCGTTAAAGGGTCCTTCAGCTCCTCAGATTTGTCCTAACTCGATTGTCCTTGTACAATAAGGCTACTTGGAACTTCGTTCGGTTGTGCGGCGTATCGACTGCATCTGTGGTGTTAAGGAAGAAGTTAGTGCCGCTTTCCTCTTCATCACACTAAGCAGGAAATTAGCTGTCATCTCAGTAATCCAACAATCAGAATCCTGCAAAAAGAGGGACACTATCCAAGGCTGGATTGGGAGATGGAACTTATTCACGAGGGAGTTAAAAACCGAGATCTTTCATCTGTCCAGTTGGGACAGAAGAGCATTACATGTTCCATAGTCTCCAGGGCCGTGTCATTACAGGAGCATGTTCTGTTTGCGATGGGAACTCTGGAATAGCGACCCGACAGAACTGCTGTAGGAAAACAGTTGAGACGGGCACAGGTAAAAGCCCTTCGCTTAGTCTCCGAAGAAATTGTGAAGCAGTATAGAGGGATCCCTTCAGGGGTGGAATAGCTAGGGCTAGGCCTGAACACGGTCCTCTTGCACAAGAAGCTGTGTTGGAGAAGTCGAGTTGCTGTAGTTTCTTTTTAGGGGTAGGGCCACCGGGCTGATACACTCTAAGTTAAGAACAGTTTTACAATTCAGATTGAGAAGAGAGCGGAATTTGAGGTTAATTGTAGTTTTCCAAGGGGAATTATGAATATCTCTTAGGATCAGATTGGAAAAGCCACCTCTAATTCGAGCATCCGATGCTAATAGGTGGAGGGTGTAGGAAATGGCTCGGCTCCATGCTCGCCTAGCAATTGAAGGCTGGGCGAACTCGAGTCGTAGGGCTGCACCTGAGACACATCTCGGGACGCCGGAAAGAGATCTCAGAAACATATGAAGTGGACGATCCAGGTTACCTGATATTGCTGTAGTCCATACTTCACATCCATATAATAATTTAGGGACGACTTTGGCATT